AGCGCTCTGTAGGCAGAAGGGACAAAAAGAGCCTTGGGAAAAAGATAAGGGAGCAAAGCAGAAGCGACTGTGCTCTGTGAGTGCCAGACGAGAAAGAGTTCAATTACTTATAATATTGTTTCATATCGATCGGTGGATCATAAATCAAACCAAATCTAAATGTTGTTGTGAATGAATTTGAGATATTGGCAACCATTGAGTCCCAATCCACTATATCAATAAAATGTGATAAAACTAGTGATTTACACCCTTAATTCTTTCTAAAATACATCTCTGTCCGCCCACCCTTCCATCCTTTTCTGTTGTTCTAACAAAATTAATAAAAACATCTCCAACTCAACCATGAGACATATCTACTGGACATTTTAACACCTGGGTGCATCTTTAAATAAAAGTTGCAGGAATTAAAGTTTTCATACAGGATTCAGATCATATTAAAGTGGTTTATTATGAGTGTCCATAAGTCAAAACTAGGTCTCTGGCTTAGCACATTAGATTAATTCAAAGCTCTGCACAATCTTGGAAAACAGCTCTATCTGCAAAAAGCATGGACATATTGACTAAACCCATTGAACTGAACACTATTCAACCCTTTGCTGTGAGATATAACACAGAGAAGACATTCAGGGTGGGAGTTAGTTTGACCAATTCCAGCCAAACCTTTCCTACTCAATACTTGTAAAGAACCATTATGAGACTTTCGAACAATCAGATTGATCACGGCCCAACAGAATCACCCCCTCCCCTAAAAAATCCAGTAAGTAGGTTGAAACATTATTCTTTTCAAGGTAGTCAAGTTTCTTTCATTGAGGGTTTTTTGGCTTCCTTTTTCATTGTGAGGAAAGATGAGGAAGTAACATGGGATGTCTGTTAATCACAGGAAGATGATCTCAGGTTGGACTCATCCCTAGTTTGTGTCCATGTGAGCAACATGCTGAAAACGTTTGTTTATTTTTAAACCATTGACAAGGTCCTTTTTCCCTCATCTATGTCATTAATAAAGGCTTGTCTGTAGATGGCACTGTAGTCATGTGAAGGTCTGTGGAGAACAGCAGGATGTGGAATGGACACTCACAAACACAGAGATCTGCATAATTTAATTCATTGTTCTGCATTTATTCCATGAGGATGTACCCTAACCACTGCATACTTTAATGATTAACAACTTAAAGATTTTTTCCCAGTCCATATAAGTGAGATGTCCCCCATAATGCAACAGTGTAGACAGATTTATGTTTTCACAAAACAAGCTTAAGTTGAAACCTGCTGCATAAATCGGGTCTAAAGGAGGAAGATGAGGTGCACACATGCACCTTATTTATACACACAACCTTTTCTCACACACCGTCTCACTTTGCCATTTTATTATTCCCTTGTACCAGTGCACACATTAGCGCTTGCATAACACATGCTCATGCAGCGACTGCTAGTTTATCCCCCTCTTTTACTCCCTTACACTCACTCAGACACAAACTTGGCAGGATGTGAAGGGAGAAAAGGGGCCGAAAGACAACACCGAGATTAGGAGGCTTCTGTCACGGCTCTGTTGCAGACTTTAAAGGCCTTGGCTTCCTTCCCCTCAGCCAGATTTCTTTCTTTTCTCAGCATGTCTGTCCACATCCCTCTCTTTTCATAGGGGGAAGGTAAACATTTGGCTCAGAGCTACGGAGAAAGGGAGGAAAGGTGGAAGAGAGAGATGGGTGGAGGTACGATGGAAACCGCCTGTTGCCCCTTTTTTGTGTTTTTGTTTTCCTAGTTTTAATGGTGGCTTTGTGGCTGTGTGAAGGATGATTAGAGAGGGAGAGGTATGCAAACAGAGCTGCGTTTCAATGCCAGCCAGGTGTCTGCGTTGTTCTCATCTGGGTGTGTGTGTGTCTGTGTGTGTGTGTGTCCAGGGCATCCATTTGTGCTTTTTTATTTGTATCTGCGCATAATGCTGCATATGCACTTCATCACACCACCACTTGTCCAGGTGAGTGTGCATCGGCATCTTTAGGTTTCGATGAGCTGTTTCATATGTGCTTTTCTCAGGTGTGTGTGTTTGAGTCCTTCATGGTCACTGATTCCTTTCACCTGCGTGCTTTTTTTCACAGTGAAAAGCCAGATGATAGTAAAAAGCTCGTTGGGCCTTTGGCCACAGCTGCTGTTGACTCAAGCGCCCAGGAATCTTCTCCATGGGTTCACACCCTTTTAACCAGCCAACTGCATGGCAGAACACCACCCCCATCCTACTTCCCACCATCCACACCTCCCGTCTGGCCATAAAGCACGAGTTAAGGGCCAAAGGTCCAATCATGTGGCCCAACAGTGGCCATTGTGATGGCTGGAGGATGAAAAGTATTCACTTACAGTGGTGATGACTAACTCATGGATTAATTCTCACTGCTCAAGAAACATCTCAAAATATTTTACTTGAGGGAAAAAGAAACACCTACTTGATGTTCTGGAGAATTACAAGAAGAGAGTTATTTTGAGAAAAGTATCTAAAGACAACCTGAAAGGCTAAATGATTATTTGTTAGTTTTCACAATAAAAGCGTAAATAATATTGTGCTGTCAGCTTTTTATTTTCCTGTTATCCACACCTTGCTTTTTATAAAGGTTTTGTTTTAATTCAGTTTTGTTCTTACAATTAAATTAAAAGAGAACAGTGAATTATACAGTATAACAGGCTTTTTAATACCACATAAACTATAGCAGGAAACACAGATATGCCGTTAAAATATTCATATTTATTTTTCTGTTATTAAATGTTGGCTTTTTTTTCCCATTGAGCTGTCTCGATCCATGATGGAAATACCAAGGTTGGTGTTCTTGAGAGTATTTTTCTGTTAAACTGTCTAATGAACCTAATTCTAACTAAACACAGATTGCAGTCTTACTAAAAACTATAGATAAATTACCACAGAGCTCGCAATGCTATTGTTTGAAATTATTTAGATATTAACTTTGACATTTGATAGCTTGTGTGTTTTCACAAGTTTATCTCTGCTCTTTGCTGTAGCTGAATTCTTTGCCTCGTTTTTTTTGTTGTTACTTTAACTCTATTAAATTCTTAGCTTGACCTCACAGAAAAAAGTTTTAACCTTTGTAATTTTTTAAGAATACAAAAACGCACACTACAGAAATCCTGAACAACTCAGAGATTTTATCAAATGAACTTTACATAAAATGCTCAGAAAACATCTTAAATTCAACATAAGTTAAACTCTAGGCCCTCATTGAGAAGTTAAAAGAAAAGAAAAAAAATCAAGAACCAAAACTGAACTAAAACTCTTCTTTCATTCTTCTCTTTTAGCCCACTTCCCTCTCTCCTTCATTTGACACTTTCCACATTTTCACTGATGTGTTCTTTCTCATCTCCAGGCCACGGCAGCAGTGAGCTCAGATCATCTGTCAGCAGCTCAGCTCTGTCATCTTCCTCCTCCCTGTTTCTCCTTATCACTCCTCTTTTGACTCTTCTCTCAATCTTCTTGTCTTCAATTCTTCAAGTCAAGCAGAATCACAATGTTCACAAAAAGAAGCCTTGATTTGTAGTTCTGCAGACTTTCTGAAAGCGTTGCAAAGTGTCTTTTTTTGGACTTTATGAACATTACTTTATGGAGGGTCTATAATGTAACCAAAGGATGACTGGTTTGTTAATGAGCTTCATCCACACTGGTAAAAATATTTATATTTTCTTTCTTATTATTTTGGATGAAAGCATCTGCTGATACGTGTTTTCCCATTCCACAAAATGAATGAGAAGTCCCGGGTGCAAATCCCAGACAAGCACTGAAAAATTACAACTCGACTCACTGAGCCATAACACAAGCAGGCACACACCGTGTAAAAGTTATTAAAATATAACTTATTCAAGTAAAAGAACCTCAAACTAACCCACAAAAAAAAAAAAAAAAAAAAAAAAAAGGTTTAAACAAGGAGCTGCAAACCGAACACACATGTTGCAGCATTCCTTAGGGGAGAGGTTAGACTGCAGGAATTAAATAGACAGATACTCCAGGTCCTCAGGTGTTCTACATTAACTAAATCAGCCAGATGTGGGGCAGACTTTCCTGATTGGCCACAAAATGACCCACATAGTTGTAAGACGGTGCTTCATTAAAGGAAAATGCATCTTAGAGTCTGTTGGCCATTTTAAAAAGCCAAAGATTTGTTAGCTATAATTTCAAGTGTAAAGAAAATCATTTTAACTTAAAAGCTGAAACTAATAAATGAGATAAACTCATTCTGCGAAGCCGGATGTTTCAAGCTTTTGTTGTAATTGTGATGATTATGACTTACAGCTGATGAAAACCCCACATTCTAAATCTCAGACAGGCATTTAGAATATTGTTCAACATTCTAGACTCAAAGTGTCACACTCAGCTAATGAATCCAGATCACCTGCAAAGGCTTCCTGAGCTTTTAGATGGTCTCTCAGTCTAAGATGGATTATTGAAATAAAATGACTTTGCACCATATTCTACTTTTCTTCTGTACACTAGTACATGCATTTTTTTTAGAATTTCTTCCTTTCAGATTATAACCATTAGCTCTTTTTTCAAACATTCTCAGAATATTTTTGGATAGGTATTTTATTGGCTTTGTATATTGTTAGTAACATTTTACAATCAACTAAAATCAGCAAACAGCAGTATTCCAGAGTCTGAAGAGTTTACAGTTTAGGGTAGCTCTCTTGCTCTCCACGGTTACCACCTCCAGCCCTTTGCACTGCCTCATCCTTTCAGCAGTGTTTCCTTTCATCATCTTCCTCCTAAATGAGTCAGAGGAGAGAGACATTGTGCATTCATACCCTCCACATGCACGCAACGCTTGTCCATCTGTCATCTCTCCGGAAAGACACGCTGACAGATGAAACGCTGCTGCAACACTCACAAGTGAGGGTCTTCCACTATTCAGGGAGGACAATCACTTAAAAGGGAGGCTGATAGTGCTTTAGGGTATTGCAGTGAGTTACTGCAGCAAACACAAGCTGATGTCAAAGAAAGGCAGCATCAATCAGATATCACATTTTAATGGCACAAATAAAACAACAGGATTACGTCATTTAGGGAAAGTATTTTTAATCTAAACGACAGACTGTGCAAGATTGTCAAAACGAAGATAAATGATAAAATTTGTATATTTTGTCAGCACATATACAGTATCTTACAATGACATGAAAAGTTTATGCCACATAGCTTACATTATGACTATAACACAAAATCCATCCATGCAATATAATGCCCAATTATATGGAAACAAATAAACATGTCAAAAAGAAAATAAATTAAAAACACACTTTTTTTCCAAATTTGAGCACAATTTAGCATTTACAAGTTTTTGAGTGCCACTATGATGCTAGAGCTTTGTACGTGGTCTAATGCGCTTTTTAAAGAGCAAGTCACCCCCTACCAGAGTCTTACTCCACTCCCACTTCCTGTTTGAAAAATGCAACAAGTGCTGTTGCCTGGCAGACTGATAGGGTGGAGCCGCTAACAAATACATGTACACAGTCTCACAACGGCATTGTGACATCATATGGTACCAGCTGACATCATAGGGTACTTTTTAGCCAATGGCGAAGGCAGATTTAAGTTAAAATGCAGTGCAGTTTTTACCTGAAGACGGCGCAACATTAACAGTTTTAGGCAGAATATTTAAAAAACTAAGATGCAGTAAAGTGCCAAATTATTGACTACACATGTCTACAGCTCGATTAGACACTCATTTATATAGTTTATGAGCAAATAAAAAGTTGATTTGGGGGTGACTTGCTCTTTTAATCTATCGAAATGATTCTATAGCACTAATTCAACCAGGTACATACTAGTGGTAAGTGCACATTTACGCAGTTTGACTAGAGGCAGTCCGTTAGCTTTGATGCATTAAAGGGTTTAACACAACAGGAAGGCTATTTTACTGAAAAATACGATATCAGGTGGATAATAATGTATTATTAATCCATCAAGAGAGGAATAAAAATTCTTTATAATAGAAATGAAAACAGAATTGTCATGTCAGACATGAAGAGGCGTTATGTTTTGAATGCTTTCTTCAGTCACAGTTATTACAGAGGCGTTACATCTCAAGCATTCATACAGGAGGTGGGTCGTAGTTTTATTTGCTGTCCGCAAATAAAATCATGCACTTCATATGGGCCAAGGAGTGCAGCAAGGCTTTAAGCAATAATGCATTTTGTCTGACATCTTTGAACGTATTTGTAGAAATCAACACACATGATGAATAAAGAAGGTTGGATGCATGCTGGGTATCCAACAACTTGTGATTAACATTTGCAGGTAGAAACACGTTCTCTTTAAGATTGAAATGGAGGTAAAGCTGTAGTCTGCAGCTGCACTGCAGTGTGTTCATGCAAAATAAAACATATCAGGGAAAAACATGAGAAAACAGAGAATATTGTATGATTTTTTTCTATAAAAATATATAGTTTACATTGTCCTTTTAAGATTTGTGCAAAAATAAAATACATGTAGTACAATTACCTGGTGGTTTTAGCCCACAGTTTTCTGTCACGCAATTATTAAAAAAACACACTTAACCAAAGGTTTGATCTGCTGTATCGGGTTTGTTCTGGGGGGGTCAGTCAGTGAGCACTTAAGTGGAAAACAGCTGAAATCTTATCTTAGCATATCATTTTACACATTTTTTTAAAGTAGTGGTCAGATTCACGAAAACACGGAAACATGAAGATGGACGCCAGAGAAAACATCAAAGGCAGATGAAATTAGCTTGGAAGGGTTGGTGGGTGCTATCAGATTCAGTTTTCATCGTTGGTATCTACTCATTTAACACCTGCTAGAAACTTCACTGCATCATCATTATTAGCAAGGAAATAAAAAAAAAATCTGACCCTAGTTTTGGTGAATTTCAAAAACAGATGAATAAATGTCAATCTGATGAGAACAGTTATGCAGAATAAACTGTGCCGGTGAGTGTTAAAACCTGCAGGACAAAAATCCTCAAACTATTAATGATTGCAACCTAAATATTATGTAAATATTTAAGATGAAGCAGCTTTTTCAGAGTTTTAATGAGCTCGGTGGTGTAAGCAGTGGGAACTGCAATAATAATTAATTTTTTGAAGAATGTGACTGAAAATGTTAAACTTTAAACTGCTTTATTTATGTTTGTTTTTGGAAAAATCAAAATTTCTTGATTCAATAAAATATTTAAACGTTACAGATGACAGCTTTTGTTTTGGAACAAACCTGAAGAAGAGAGCAGAGTCAGAGCTTTTTCTAGGAAACATTACATCATAATGGAAGAGTTTCAGATGAGCTTTCTTAGTTTTAAGCTCTCTAAATCTCACGACAGACTACAAAAATCAGAGACGTATCTGATGATCCTCCAATGACCCAGGAAATCTGGAAAGAACGACTTTAAGACTCCCTGATGTCCATCATGCTGAACTGAGGCAAGCACAGTTAGAAACAAGAAAAACTTAACAGAAAATGCTGCCATCTTTATTTAGGAAAATAAGTTTCTTGGGTCTGTTATTGGTTAAAAAAAAAAAAAAAGGACAGGAACAAATGTAAAAACATACTACTTTTATCAGTTAAAATTTATCTATTTGAGTATATTCAACATCTTGACATCAGCGTTTTCCACACAGCACCAAGACAGCAGCTGGACTCTGAGGAGAGTGGCTGTCAGCCCAACAGAAGCAAACACCAGCAGCCAAATTTCCTGCCAACTTTGTAGAAACAGAAGAGTTTGCTTTGGCTCAGTCGGACCTAAGCCTGAAATACACTCAGAAATTAACCAATTATGAGCCAAGTCTTTGTTTAAAAAAAAAAAAAAACTTCCAACACTTTTGAGTGTTTTATAAAAACCAAAAGCTGAAATATTTTTATTATTTAGCCTCTAAAGATGCCAGAAACGAATTTATGATGGCTCCGCTTTGTAATTAAATATTTTAATAAATCATATGAAAATTTTGACTTGCAGTTTCAAACTGAGAATGAGACTAACTGTCTTTCACATAAAGACGAGTTTTACTTCTCTTTAAACATAGACCTAGAGAGCAGGCCTGATAATATAAGCGATGAGTATTTTTAGGTCCACTACGGAGGTTTTAGTTGTATAAGAATAGTAGAGATACATACATAAAATATCTTAGAACAAAACATATTTGATGATCACTTTTTCATGGATCTCATTGAATTGGCTGAAAATCAAGACCTTCTCTCTTCACATTCTTCATTGCTTGAGTGAATCCATTATTAAACAAGCGGCTGCAGCAGAGATGCATGATCCAAAGTTTGTGTTCATGAATCTGCATGGTTCTGCAGTTTTCTTGCTCTTTATGCGATTGGTTCTGCATGCATCAGAAGATGTCCATAAAAAGATGAATGTGAAACACTGAAGCTCGCTTTCCCTGCTGCTAACACTGGTAGTGAATGTGTTGATGCTGGTGCACTTTTCCGTCCACGTGTGAATGCGTGTGCGTGTGAATATCTGTGTAGATCTTTGGGTAGACCTTGGGAGCCAATCCGGCCCCTCCCTGAGTCAGGAGCAGCTGCTGATGAGCGACATATTCCTCGTACGAGAGGCATTCTTTATCTCCGTTGGCTGTTTGAGGAGGGAGCGATGGGCAGGCTCGGTCGCGAGCTGCTGCAGGTAGACGCTGAGTGGCAGGGACAGCTGAGGTTGAAGAAGAGGAGGAGGAGCAGGTGCGTTTTGATTGGTAGAACCAAAGGAGGGCGGTGCCTAGGATGAAGGCAACACCTGCTGGTATTCCGATAATGACGGGCCAGGGGAGGCTTTGAGATGTTGCAGCAGGAACAGGGTTGGACTGAACCTTCTGATCTGCAGCACAGCAAAAAATAAAGGAATTAAAGTAAAACACGTATAGGTACTAATTTTAATGTAAGCAACAAAAAAAAAAAAAAAAAAAAAAAAAAAAAAAAAAAAAAAAAAAAAAAAACAAAGCAGATATGAACATATCTGAGGATCTTTGCCTAAATCTGATTCCAAAATAACTGTTAATCATCTAGTTCTGACCTGGTAGCACAGTGAGGTAGGCACTCCGGAAGCTGTAACCCATAGTGTTGGCTCCCAAGCAGATATACATGCCGGCATCTTCCTCCTTGGCTCTGGTTATGAGCAGCTTGTTGAGGTAGGAACCATCTGGTCGTGACCAAACATCTCCAGTAGGCAGCACAACAAAGTGATGGTCTCCAACCTTTGAAGTGAACACACGATGTTACAAACTTGTCCAAATGTCTTTAATCTTTGAAGATTCTGGATATGTATCTGTGTACCTCTATGGTGGAGTTGAATTTGTTCTCTTCACCAGGTTCAACTCTTTTCAGCCATTGGATGACCGGTTTGACGTCGCTACGGACTTTACACTGAAAGGACGTGGATGCTCCATAGTCCACTGTGGTGTTGACTGGATGAGTGCCAGTTAGGATGGGTTTAGAGTTGGTACGCTCTGAGCAAACAGATATGGAATATACAAATTTGCCAGAGGGTTAGGTTTTATGCTCTTAAAATGTTATAATGTTCAGTAACATACAAAAAATACTGTAAAGGAACATTAAGTAAGAATGTAACCTTGTGGTCAAATGTGGGACTAGAGTCTGTGTATCAAAACAAACAAGTCCACACTCAGTTGCTAAGTAGATGAACACATTTCAAGTTGTTGGTAGTTAAAAAGAAGAAGCTTGAGATATTTTTAAAGCCAACTTTTTAGTTCTAATTCACCGTTAGCGTTGTTAGCTCATCGTTAGCCTCAAGCCTTCTTTAGATGATATTAGAGTATAACAAAAAGGATGCTGTTGCATCTTAGATTATAAATAACTTCTAGGCAGCTCATTTAATTAGCTTTTTCAGTTTGCCAAAAGAATAGGAATTTATTTTTTGGTTGGCATTGTGGAAGGAGGCTACAGAATCATGAACTGATGGTGACCTGGCTTTGTTGCTACTGGACTTTTAAGTAATATTACATTTGTCCAACAGTGTGTATTTTTGTCCATTGTGGTTTGTTTAGTGTCAGTTGGCTCCTGCTAGTGTTAGCTTGTTGTTAGCATTAACTACAGCAGGCTGTGGCAGGATTGTTTATGACAGTTGTAATCCTGCTTTCAACCAGTAGGAGGGAGAAGACACTAAAAGACAAAATGGCTACCTTGTGGGATTACGTTTGGCTCTGCAACCAAAAAGTATGAAGGTGGGACAGATAGTAAACAATGAGCATGTCCCTCTACAGCCTTTAAAAGAAAATATCTGCTTCACTGTACCTTTCCCTCCGACATAATATACATTAGACCGCTTAGTGATGATCTCACTGTAAAATTCTTATTTATTGCAGATCTCACTGTAAAATTGTCAACTATTGCACATTTAAGTGCAAAATTTTCAATTAATGAGCCAAATTTGAATAACATTTTTTTTTATCTAAATTATCAGAAAATTTTGTTTGAATTAAACAGTTGAAAACTTCTCTTCTTATGAGTTTTTAACAGCATCATCAACCTTCTGACCTAAATGTTCCTATTTCCCCTACACATGACTGACAGCCAATTGAATCCTGACATTAGCTAGCAGACATTTGATTTACTTCCTTTTTATTGGTGTGTAGATGTGCACACGAGCGTGAGTGTGTAACTGTCTTTTAGGAAAAGCTGCAGCTGTAGTCTAATGTAGAGCAGATGTTACAAGTGCCAAGAGTGCTGGTTTGATCCTCTCAACAGAGCTGTTAGATTTAGTTACACCCGCCCATATGCGCGCGCACACACACACACGCACGCACGCACGCACGCACGCACACACACACACACACACACACACACACACACACACACACACACACACACACACACACACACACACACACACACACACACACACACACACACACACACACACAGTTTAACCCCAGTTGTCCAACAAATGACCGAACGTTAAATTGCCCAGTTTCACAGCTTTTGTGGCCTTCTGACATCAACAACCACAGCTCGTCACATGTTTAACTATGAACAATAATCCAGCTGAACATTCCACACTCACACACTCACTCAGATACATTTTACAGTCAACCCTAGAAGTCATAAAAAATTCACAAAAGAAAGGTTTTTAAAAGTCTGTTAAAACTCTTTCTTACTGAGGCCTCGCTGGATACAGACACCTAACAATTCACATAAGTACATGTAAATTTAATTATGGTATTTGTAATCATATTGCCTTTGATGCTCCATAAAATCACTTTTTCGTGTCAGAAGGGAAACAAACTTAATTCCTATCTCAGGGGCCCCGTGGAAGCGATAAGAATGTGGTTTAAATCTCTTCATTAGCCAGACTTTGGATTAAATTGATTCTAATATTGATCATCTGACGCTGTAATTTTCAGGACTGAATGATGATCTTAAATGTGTCCTGGTATGCTAGTCTTTAGTTGTGATTTTAGTTTTGCTGGTTAATTTACCTGCCAAGTTAAATTTGCTTGATTTCTAACTAATATCTCTGCTTAATGTCCACCTTATAATTTTCAACACAGCTGATTTGTGACTCACGTATCACTTCCACTTTGTACGTGGCGTTGATCTCTCCTGCCTTGTTGGAAACGTGGCAGGTGTACTTCCCACTGTTCTCTGGCATTAGGTTCTTCAGACTCAGAGTCCACCTCTTCTTCTTCCCTTCTTCTCCTGCTACACCTTCCTCATCGTCCAGCGGTTTGTTATCCTTCAGCCAGACGATGTCCGGACGAGGGTTGCCGCTTGCTGTGCACTTCAGACGCACAGAGCTGCCGACGGGGCGAGCAATGACCCGTTTCCTCATCTTTGCAGGCTCTGTGAAACGTGGACGGACTGCAAGCAGATGAAATTCAAAAAGTAAGCAAAGAGAAATGTAGCCCAGTCTGGATTTAAACAGGATAAAGAATCCAAGAATATAAACGAAAAGAGACAAGGCCCTCTCGCTCAGTCAGCAGCACGTAGGAAAAAGAAGAGGGATAAAAGGAACAGACATAAGTACACTGCAAAAGCTCATTTCTAAGATAATTAAAAAGCCAAATTTTTTGTCTAAAAATAAAAATAATTCTTCTCTAAAAAATACATTATTAAAAACAATGTAGATATTCTTAAATGTCATCCAAATGTTCTTGTTTTGAGTATAAAATCTGCCAATGGGGTAAGCAAAGGTTGCTTGGCTAGAATTCTTAAAACTAGCCAATAAATGTAAAATGACATTATTTAGCTTTTTTTGCTTTCTCAGAAATCAGTTTTTGTAGTGTAGTAAAGTAAATGTTTTACAGAGCAGACGTTTTATTTATAGAAATTCCTTTCTGTTATTCAGGGGTAGAAATGACTGAAATACCAACGTGACATTTTTATTAGAAGTAAAGAAGTTATCTGACTAGAATATGACATGGAAAATTGCCGCTATAAAATTTCAAGACTTCTGAGTTACAACTATATTATTCCTTTAAAACGTAGGAGTGAATTTAAAGTTCCAATAAAGGCACCGTCTTGATCTCCAGCTCAAAATCTGATGTCTAGTTGTTTGAAACCTTGTTTTTCGCCTGCTGACATCTGTGCCAACAGCTGTGATTGTAAATTCATTTTCCGCTCCAAAAGCAGTCCCCACTAGTGTGTCTATTTTCACGATGTGAGATCAGTTTCTTTGAAGTTCATATTAATCGGCATCAACACACAAGCCCATTCATTTATGGCTGTGGTGAAAATGCTTCTGTGTCAGTGAACTGACACACCTTCCTGCAAAATATGTAAACAAAAAAATCAAGATTTAAAAAAGACCAGGAGTCTCATTTATCAAACATTGCGTAGAATCCTTACTAAAACCGTACTTAAGCTCAGCAACAAAAAAAAAGTACTTATGCCAAGCAGGTTGTGATCTATCAAACATGGAGTACGCACAGCTGCACGCAATCTCCACTTCATAAATCGGAGACTAACCCCAAAATTCCATTACCCCCGCTCCGCCCCGCCCCCGCTGCCGCTCGCTTCCGAACTCAATTTTTACTGGTACCCGCTCTACAACGGCTCTGCTCCGGTGCGGAGACCTGAGGTGCGCAAACAGGCATACGCGGGATTTTCGAGATCTTGCGATACAGTCCGAGCAATAAACGCGGAAGTTAGATCCAAACACCCGTTGTGTGGGAGAAGCATCCAAATGAACTGTTTAATCTGCCATCATTTGTGTTGAGAGATCAGCAATGTTTGGATCAACAAAGGGTGACTACTTTGATAGTGGAAACTGTGTTTATGGCTTACTTTTGTGCATTTAAAGTTCAGCTGCCATTGATAGTTGTTAACAGTTGTTAAACCTGTGCATATGAAACAAAAAACGCTTTTTGTTTATCGATTTATTGTGAAATAACTGAAGCTGTGCTTGCTCCCTTTCCTGTTGGGTGGTTGTGATTCCTGTCCATTGACTGCGGAGGTGCTCCGGCGTCCAGCAAAAATAGAATCGATCCTATTTTTGCCGGATGGCGGAACGGCGGGCGGCGCACGGCCTCAGTAGTAGAACAGCTCTGATTGACTACAACGGGACCGTTTTTGCTGTGGAGTTCGTGCCAGAGCGCAGCGGAGCGGAGGAAGTGGAATTTTGGGGTTACGAGAATGTTTCTCAGCTGCATTTTAGTCACATCCCGCCCTCATCACACCCACTTACTGCCATAAATAGTCAATGCAAAGTGCCTTGTGGATCTCATGCATATGCATAAGCCGGCTGTCGCAGCGCTCCGCTAATGACATGGCGACCGTAGATCAAGGCAGATCAAGGAAGCACAATTTCACAAGCAGAAATTGAGGTACTTGTGGGTGAGGTGGAGAAATGAAAGGAAGTGCTTTTGCAAAACAAATAAGAGAAAATCCACATAGTTGGCACAGCGTTGCTGAAGCTGTCAATGTTGTGACTTCTTCAGAGATCTGTGGCGGGTATAAAAAAATGGTCCAATCAGGATTCAAACCCCAGACTCCCGGGCGAACGTCACTCACACTAACCAGTCAGCCAAACAGAAATCTCCCTTGTCCAAGTAGCCAGGGCGCATGATCGATCGGATCACAGTGACAGGACACACACACTGTTACAGACACATGACATTCTGTCTCAATCTGTCCCCCTGCTGATATTCTGCATTCCGTATTCTGCGCTTCAGGCTGTGTGTGAGTGTGCGCGCGAGTGTGAGTGTGCGCACATGTGTGTGTCATGGTGTGTGTACGTGCGTGTGTGCGTGTGGGGGGTCTTGTTCTGTGTGAAAACGAAGCAGTACAAGTGATAATGCTGCAGGATTTCATAATTTTATCCTTCTCAGCAGCAGCACTGCAGGTGCTCTCCATGTCCAAAATGTGCGTAAGCAAGGCCCTTAGTCAACTTAAAGTTGCGCACATTTTTCTGCTAAGTTTTCTTTCATAAATCCCAAAGTTTGTGTGGAACGTTGCTTACGCAGTTTTCCGACCCCGTTTTGTTCGTAAGCAAGCTTGATAAATGAGGCCCCAGGGTAGTTTAAAGCTGAGCTGTAAAAAGTTTCACACTCTGCTGCAGGAATTCTGTGATATAAAATCAAACTTGTAAAAGTTGCAGAACCACAAAACAATGCATTTGATTCCTTTATTTATGTTTGACTTATTCATCACCTCCTTGGGTTTGTTTTAAACTCCTTAATTCCTCACATACAAAGTCAAGAACCCGTGAAATCCTCGTGTCAAAATTAGAAAGCACATAAACCTAGAAATCCAGACACTGACTCGGCTCACTGCAAACATCACAGATGCTTTCCTACCAAGCATCAGATGCCAAATTAATGCTACAAACCCAGTCAAACTTCCACATCCCTGGACCAGTTGTGCAACTTAACTTCATCTAGGCCTTTGAAGTTGCATATTTTTTCTTACTAATAAATAAAACGGATGGACACCAGCCCAGTCTTATCCAAACCCATGAATCTTTTTAAACGCAGATATCCTCGGTGAAAGAAACACAACAATCAGTGAAAACGGATCAAAGAGGAAAACCCTATCCAGTAGGGTGGGAGGAGAGGAAATCATTCACAGGAGCGCTTGATTTTATGGCCCCCCTGTTCCAGCCACAGGAGATAGCCATCAGCCAGGGAGATAAATCACCCTGAAACTACTGCAGTTGCATCTCTTTCTTTAGACACAGTTATTATTCTAGCTTTGGGTAAACAAATTGGGGAAAGAGTTATGTGACGGCTTTGCGTGCTCAAGTTGGGAGATTTTACTATGGCTGCATTACTCAGTGGAGGAAAGCTCTCAGACAACAACCCCAAAGCTGGGCAGAAGGACAAAACAAACATATCGGAAAGGCTTTAAAGTCTCGCCTTTGTGCCTTCTGAGTCTGAGAAAAGCTACTGGACTACAGCTGAACTGTGACCAGTCAGAGTCAAAGTTTAGTGCACAAATCTGGCTGATCTGGCTTTAACTGAAAGAGAGAATAAATATGATGACTGGCTAAAGACAAGAAGAAAATCAAATGATGTTGCAAAGTGTTAGTGTGTAACTGATTAATATACTTTCAGCTGAGTAAAATGTAGAAAAACAGATGGAAACGGAAAGAGAAAAGTTCATATCGAGGTTAGAGCAAATGCTAAGTTGACAGATTGCTAAAAATACGAATAAAAACTGACGTGATGGCAGAAAACCCAGAGCAAGGATGGAGGAGATTGAATTAAACAATAAAAGGTAAAAAAAAAAAAAAAAAGAAGTAACATAAGGAAGGAGGAAAAAAACACACAAGGGGTATCTGAAAGAGCAGTGTTAGAGAGAAGGGAAAGAGGAGGTGAGAGCCAGAGAGTGCAAAATGGCAGCTTGTTCTGGGTCTCGGAGCACTTCAACACCACACTTCTCAGTGTAAAAATACTGCTGACCTCTGACTGATGCCTTTGATCAGACAGTGTGCCAGAGAGGGAGAGTGTGTGTTATCGAAAACAGCATTGTCAAATTTAGAGTGGACTTTAGATACATAGTTGGTGATCTAGTATATCTGATTACTTTTGTATGATTGTTTAGTAAATTTAAAATACAAACCCTAATGTAGAGAAAACTTATCAAAAAATATAATAAAAAACTTTGAGATCTAATCAGTTCTAGTCTCAGAACTAGCAGGATTAATTGGGAAGAAATTAAAGACCACGCTCACTGAGAAACATGCAAGTGTCGCATGATCACAGAAGCATAATTTGATTGGCTTAAAAGTCACGACTCAATCAAGTGATGAGTACTTTGGCCTGGGTCACTAGGAGGCCCCATGAGTTGTTGAATTTTTGCTGATGACATTTTTTTAACCTTGCGCTGCAAGATGAATTGTCTCGCAAGATTTGGAGTTTTCCATACTCAGGAGAATCCATCTTCTACCACTCCAAACTGTCCGACCTCCAGCCTAAAACAGGCCAGACCAATTGTGTTTGTCATGTTCTGTGTCCCTCTGTCCCCAGCCTCCTCCTGTTCTCACTCCAGGTTCTCCTCTTTGTGTCCCATTGTGTTCCCCAACCCACTCCAGGTTTCCCCGTAGTGTTTTCAGATGTAGAAATCCCATCCCTGTTTTTCTTATGGTTGTCTTGTTTTCAGGTTTTAGGAGTTCACTTATCTGTAGTTTCTCTGTAGATTTAGGCGTAGTCCAAACGTAGCCGGTTAAAAAAAAAACGAATATCTGCCCCTCCAAAAACTTGCATCCACACCACCTCGTTTAAAAAAAAACTTTGTCCACACGTACCCGGATAAATACGTTGTTAAGGACATGCCAGACCTGTAGGCGGCAGTACTTCCCCCGTTCTTAACCTCGTCCTTCGTATGTGGTCTTCCGCAAGGAGCAGTAATTCCACTTGCAA